CAAGTGCCCAAATCGGACTTAAATACTGAAAAACAATAACATAAAATTCAATTTTCAGGATCTCTTTTGCGCCTAAAACTATCATTGAGATTTCAAACAGGGTCCTTCACAAAGATCTCTTCTTTTGCCCTATTAAAAAATGCTAGAAATAATTCAGCTTATTTGACGTGTTACTATTGATGAATTGCATGGGAAGAGCTGGCCAGTCAGGAGAGATCCTCTGCTTTCCTTAGGTTACATTTGTATGGTTAAAATGCTAACATAAACATCTTAGAAAGTGCATGCTATATGAGAATCCTCTGGAGATTTGTACCCTTTGCTTTTCATAAAAATGTCAAAACTCAGAGGAAAAACTGACCAAAACTCTTATAAAACATTTTCATTGAGTTTTCCTATATTTGACAGTCTTGGTGGTATTTTGCCTGATGATCTAAGACAGTGGTCGGCAAACTCATTAGTCAACAGAGCCAAATATCAACAGTACAACGATTGAAATTTCTTTTGAGAGCCAAACTTTTTAAATTTATATAGGTAGGTACATTGTTATTAACTTAATTAGGGTACTCCTAAGGCTTAGGAAGAGCCACACTCAAGGGGCCAAAGAGCCGCAGTTTGCCGACCACGGATCTAAGACAACAGCAGCAAAGAATTATCAGTGCCCGGCGGGCATGACTCAGTGGTTGAGCATAGGCCTAGGAATAAGGAGGTCATGGTTCCTTTCCCAGTCAGGGCACATGTCCGAGTTGCAGGCTGGACCCCCAGTAGGGGGTGTGCAGGAGGCAGCTGATCTATGATTCTCTCTCATCATTGATGTTTCTTTCTCTCTCCCTCTCCCTTCCTCTCTGAAATCAATAAAAAATAATAAATAAAAAAGAATTAGCAGTCACAACTTTACTCCTTTTATTTAAATCTAGCACCTTCAAAAAATAAAAATAAAATAAAAAAATAAATCTAGCATCTACGCCAGTGATTCTCAATGTACATCAGACGTACCCAGAAAGTATTCTTAAAATATAGATATTTAGCCCTATCCAGTTTGGCTCAGTGGATAGAGCATCAGCCTCGGGACTGAAGAGTCCTGGGTTCGATTCCGGTCAAGGGCACATGCCCGGGTTGCGGGCTCCATCCTCAGTCGGTTGCATGCAGGAGGCAGCTGATCAATGATTCCCTCTCATCATTGATGTTTCTATTTCTCTCTCCCTCTCCCTTCCTCTCTGAAATCAATAAAAATATATTTAAATATAAATATATGTTTAGAACCTACTCCAGACTTACTGAGCCCTCTTAATATTCTTGGTATATTATGTATGCTATGTCTTAGGATTATTATATATCTCAATATTTTTTCCTCATGAAAAAATTATTCATCCATTTTGTCACCCATTTTTATAAATCAGATATAGTATTCACTGACGTCTTTGGGGAAATAGGTTTAATCATTGGTCTTAGAGACATTTTATCTAACATTTTTTTCTTGGAATGGCTTAAAACCACAAACATGTATTATCTCACAGTTTCTATTGGTCTAGAATCTGGGTGCAGCTGGCTTGGATAGTTGTGGCTCAGGGTTTGTTAGGAATTTGCATCTGGGGCCTCAGGGTCCACTGCCAAGAAGGCCCACTCACATGGTTGGTGGTTGATGCTGACTGCTGGCTGGAGTGCTTCAGCTCCCCTCCGTGTGTCCTTTCATCTTCCACGGCCTCGCTTTTCCACATGGTTTTTCCAACAGGACAGCCTGGACTTCGTTACCCTGGCTGGGCTCCAACCGAGGGAGGGAAAAGGGGGAGAGAACCAAGGGAGAAAGAGCACACCTAAGATGGAAGCTGCAATCTTTTTATAAACTAACCTCAGAGATGATATCCCATCCTTTCTACCGTATTCTCTTTGTTAGAAATGAGTCCATAAATCCAGGCCACACCCAAAGGGAGAGGATTACACAGGGGCATGAACACTAGCAGGCGGGACGGGGGAGGGGGGGGCGATGGGGGACGACCTTGGAGGCTGCCTACCACACTGCCCCTAAGGTGTGTGGGGCCCTAGACAAATATTTTTTCACAAGACCTGTGACTATATAAGTAATTTGAATAAAAATCTATTACAAAATCATGGGTCCATATGAGCTACTATGATGTTTTTCTTATTATTGATTTCAGAGGAAGGGAGAGGGATAGAGATAGAAACATCAATGATGAGAAAAAATCATTGATTGGCTGCCTCCTGCATGCCCCACACTGAGAATTGAGCTCACAACCCCGGGCATGTGCCTTGACCAGGAATCGAACCCTGACCTCCTGGTTTATAGGTTGATGCTCAACCACTGAGCCACGAGGACCGGGTTATTGTGATTTATTGATGATTTAGAACAAAGTGCAAAGAAGAAGTACCTCCTTACTTGTTTATTGTCTAATTAATGCACCTGAGGAATCCTCACAGTGTCCAGGCTCCAACTCCTCCTGTTCAGGTCCAGGAACCATCTCCTTATATTCTTGATGTTCTTCATTGTCAGATGTGACATTCTTGGCTAACTTCATCTCCCACCACAAGAGGGTAGCAACACCTTTCTTACTCGCAAGGCCATGGCTCTTTAGAACCTGTTTATACTGGGAAAATAAAAATCTTCTGGCCTCTGTATTTCCCTAATGCCATTTCTTTAATGCTGGTTATGTCTTACCTGTGACAGTCACTGCACCATTCGTTGGGCTGCCCATAAACACTGGCTTCCAATGATGTCTCCTCCTTCAGAAATTGTGACGATGCTTTGTTGATAAGGACCACAAAAGCAAACATGATGCAGAGTAAGCAAGAAAATGTGAACAAGGCTTCATTTTCTGGTCATGTTAAATTTACTGTCTGGAATTTTATAGACTAAATGTAGAAAAACACACCCTCTAACTGGCTCTTCTCTTGAACTCTTTAAACAATAATCCCTGCATTCCTAGGATGCAAGCTTGACTGCGCCCTTGCTTTCCACACACCATCAGCAGTTGGGAGGAAAGCAAGGGGCTCTGGCAGAATGAGAAGAGAAGTCCCATTTGTGCAAAGAATGTCCATTCCTATCTGGCATGTCTTGAGACTGACCTGCAGAAGCATGATACCCCCCACATTGATGAGCCAAGAGACTGCATTGGAGTTGGGGGGCTATAGTCTCAAAAGTCCTTAGAGGAGGTAGACATGGCCTGATACCCGGTGGACAGCCTGTGGAGGGAATGATTTGCCCTGGGTGCCAGGGGCAAGACTTTTTTTTTTAAAATATATTTTTATTGATTTTTTACAGAGAGGAAGGGAGAGAGAGAGAGAGCTAGAAACATCGATGAGAGAGAAACATCGATCAGCTGCCTCCTGCACACCTCCCACTGGGCACATGCCCGCAACCAAGGTACATGCCCTTGACTGGAATAGAACCTGGGACCCTTCAGTCCGCAGGCCAACGCTCCATCCACTGAGTCACACCTGTTTGGCAAGACTTTTTAAAAATATATATTTTTTTATTGATTTCAGAGAGGAAGGGAGAGGGAGAGAGAAAATAATTGATTGGCTGCTTCCTGCACACCCCGTACTGAGGATCAAGCCTGCAACCTGGGCATGTGCCCTGACTGGAATTGAATCATGACCTCCTGGTTTATGAGTCGACGCTCAACCATTGAGCCATGCCAGCCGGGTGGCCAGTGGCAAAACTTGAATAATTTCCTTTCTTTAGGAAATTATTCAATCTTAACCCCTAATACCTGAGTATGTGACCTTATTTGGCAAGGGGAGACACTGAGCCTTCTGCCCACCATTGGGTGCTCTAGACAGGAGGTAGCCCCACAGTTGGAATACTGACATGTGAGAGCTGACACATGGGCCTACGAGTGCAGCTCAAGCCCAAAGGTTGGCAGTGGCCTGTTCAGACCCAGGGCTCTGAACATGGCCTGTCAACGACATGAATGAATCACTCAAAATCAGCATGTCACCACCATACTGATGGCCCAGTCTCATGTGATCCTGTGAAAGAAAGCCACATTAGCCAGCAGAAGTGAACCATTTGCTAGGTCGCACCCCTTGGAGCTGGCCAGAGAGCCCTGGAATAGCCCCATAAGTATAAGTACTAGAGTTCATCAGGGGAACTGTCTGGCCCCATACATGGGGTAGAAGGTAAGAGAAACCCCTCTAAAAAGGAAAAGTGGGGATCAGGGCCCAATTAGGTCCTGGTCCAGACTCAGGGTGCCTCACTCAAATGGTACTTATGGCCCTAGCCAGTCCCAGCCGCTAGAGGGGACTATAGACCACTTTAAGAAAGGTAACCCAAAGCATGGGCTCCCCTGGCTCAGAACCCAGAGCAGGGGTCCTGATTGCTTATTTGTGGTGTGGTACAAGGTATACTAGGTTCCATATCATCTTTCATTAAGAAAGTATTCAAGTCTTAACCCCTGGTACCTGTGAATGTGACCTCGTTTGGAAATCATGTCTTTAAGATGTAAGTTAAGATGAAGTCATACCAGATTAGGGTTGGCCCTAAATCCACTCACTAGTGTCCTTATGAGAAGAAATAGACACACACAGGGAGAATGCCATGTGACTATGGAGGAAGAAATTAGAGTGATGCATCTGAAAGCTATGGACCACCAACCACCTGAAGCTAGAAGAGGCTGTTAATGTATGAAAACATTCAAACCTGTAAAGAATTTTTGTGAGTTTCTTTGAGCCAAGCTGTCGACAATTGCCAGAAAGCAGAATCTCAACATACTGGGATAATGCTCCAGAGAATGGCGGGTTTTCACCTTGTTTTTATACATTACAATAAAAGGAGGAGACGTAAGTGGGTTACATGAAATCTATTGGTGATAGATTAGGGAGGTGGGAGAAAGCAAAGTGGGGAAATCTCTGGGATTGGATAAAAAAGTAAAATGATAGACACATACTTCTTTTTTGAAATATTTTTTATTGTTGATAGTATTATAGGTATCTCCTATTTCCCCCCTTGCCCCCCTTCTCCCAGCCCCTACCCCCCCCCCCAGGTCTTCACTCCCTATTGTCCCTGACACATACTTCTTTTACATAAGTGGGTACAGGATAGTTAACAGTCAACAATTAACAAGATAACAATAAGAATGAGGGGATGTGCAGTCTCTGTCCTGGTGCCCTGGCCATTGGTTTTGTCCTGAGGGGTCTGGAAAAAGGGAAGTTACAAGTTACTATGACATTCCACAGGTATGTTATCTAGATGCAAAAATACAATAGGCTCAGTAAAGATCCAAGTTGGTCTTTGTCAGGGAAGATAGCCACCTAGGACATGACTACCCACTATAAACTGCTTTTAAATTAAAGGTTTTAATTTCAGACCATCCTTTGTGGTTACTTTAGGTCTCTGAGTTTGCAAGGCCAACAGGTAGGCCTTCCCTGAGTTAGTGACATTAGCACGTGGTCCCTTTGCATCCACAAGGCCGGAAAGGATCCTTCCTTCCCTAGAGTCTTCAGAGGGAGAACAGCCCTGCCAACACCTTGATTTCAGACTTCTGACTTCCAAAACCACTGGAGAATAAATTTTAAGTCAGAAAAAGGACTCAGTAGACATTTACTGGGAGCCTATTCTGTGCCAGGCACTGGGAATACAATGGCGATTAAGGCAAGGATTCTGCCCCACGTTGCTGGCAGCAATACAAGCAGTAAAGCAATGAATGGAGGGGCTTTGAGAATAATGGCATAATACTCCAGGCCTCCATGTAGTCATTCTTATGGCTATGATTTATTACAGTGAAAGGACATAAAGCACAATCCCCAGAGGGAAAAGGCCCACAGGTGAACTTTGGAGGGAACCAGGAATAAGCTCCCATGACTCCTCTCCCAGAGGAATCACAGGACATGCTTAATTCCTCTAACAATAAACTGTAACAACACATTGGAAATATTGTCTACAGGGAAACTCACCTGAGCCGAAGAACCCAAGATTTTTATCAGGGGCCAGTCACATAGGCTAGCATATACCGAAGTCCCAGATCCCCAGAAGGAAAGCAGGTGTTCAGCATAAACCAGTGTTTGTACAGTTTAGGTGTAGTGAGCCACTCATCATTTAGAGAGCGGTGGAAACCCTCCCCGGATCTGAGTTCCCAGATGCCAGCTGTATTAGCTGAGGCTGCCATACACAATACCACAGACTGGGTGGCTTAAAAAACAGAAATGTATTTCTTATAGTTCTGGAGGCCAGAAGTCCAAAATCAAGGTGCCACCAGGGTTGGTTTCTGGTGAGGACACTCCTTCTGATTTGTAGATGGTCACCTTCTCACTATGTCCTCACATGGCCTTCCCTCTGTGTCTGCAAGGAGAAAGAGATCTCTGGACTCTTCTTCATATAAGGACACCAGTCCTATTGGATTAGGGCCCCACCTTTATGACCTTATTTAATCTTAATTTCCTTCTTAAAGGCCTCATCTTCAAATATAGCTGCTTTGGGGGATTAGGGCTTTAACATATACTTTGGGGTGCAGGGGGACTGGGGGACGGGGGGACGGGGGGACGGGACACATGATTCAGTCCATAACAATAACCAAGGGCCAAACTTGCAGGCCTAAGGACAAGTCTCAAGTCTGCTCTACTCTTTCCTGCACAAGGTCTGTACCAACTTACAGAAGCCTTGAAATGGCTGCCAATTCTGTTGCTCCCTAGGGGGAGGGGTCCCCATTTGATGCTGGTCGTCCAGATTACAATGGCTCTTTCCATGCAGGTTGAGAACCTTCCTGCCCCTTGGCCACAGCTGAGGAGAGACCAGAAGTTGATGTGTGAGCAGAAGGTAACCCTACATGGAAAGAGCCTAACAACTCATGCCAACAGAGGCACCCATATTTGATGGCCGTGATCAAAGCTTCTCTTCAGGAAGTGATATGAAAGGGTGATGCTCAGTGGTTAAGCATCTACCTGTGAACCAGGAGGTTATGGTTCGATTCCTGGTCAGTTCAATTCCTGGTCAGGGCACTGTTAGGTCGCTGAAGGAGGAATGCACGAGGCCAGAATGGTGAGGGATTACGAATTTACTTGATCATCTGCACACCAGGTGGCTGAGCCTGGCTGGCTCCAGCACCCAGTGACAGCAGTCAGTGGCTTTTAAAGGATTTTTGGCAGGCTTTTTCTGGGTGGAGAATTCCCTGTGCATACACTGAGGGGAGATAATGGAATATGGTTGCCACAAGTGAAATGTGGTCTCAGCAAAGGGAATGTCCATAGTGAAATGGCCTGAAAATCCAGTTTCCGGGAGAAGGATATCAATTCAATTATTTGATCAGACCTAACAGGCACATTTCCGGGTTGCAGGCTCCATCCCCAATGTGAGGGGCGTATGGGAGGCAGCTGATCAATGATTCTCTCTCATCATTGATGTTTATATATATCTCTCTCTCTCCCTCTCCCTTCCTCTCTGAAATCAACAAAAATATATTTTTTAAAGAAAGAAAAACAACAAATAAATAAGCACTAACTGAAAACATGTCAAATGGCCAGAAAGGAAAGTATGACATTGTTCAAAATGTAGCACTGGAGATCCAGAATGACTCCACAAGCACTTCCGGTGCTGAAGGGAACAGTTTATAATAACACTGTACCGGTCATAAGCCTGAATGTAGTAAATACTAGAGTGGCAAGATGCAAAAAGTATAACCTCCAGGAAATGCAACAAATGGATCATGGAAACAGAAGCAGCAGACTTACCTTTGTCAGCCTAGGATAGATCTAGTAGTCACAGCAAAAACAGTATAATTAATAAAGCTCTAGCAAGTTTATTCTCTTATACCCATGAATACATTTTTTAGTCAGTAACTATGGAGCATTAATAATCCTTGATACTCATGTTAGGCCACAAAGAAAATTTCAATAAATTCCAAAAAGAAGAATGAATCCACATTACATTCTGTGGCCAAAATAGAATGAACTTGGATGTAAATAAATAAATAAATCACAAAACTCCAATATCTTTGAAAGAAAAGTTTACTCTCTCTTAAGCAGCTCTTTTTGTGTGTGTTCTCCTAAGCAACTCTTGCATCAATGTATAAATAACCCAAAATTTGCAGAACATCTAGAGTAGAAATATTGAACAATTTTTGTTATGAAAACATTACCTACCAAAATGCATAAGGTACAATCTCAGAGCAAAATGCATAGTTTAACATATAAAGGATATAGTTGAAAAATCCCAAACAATATACCCAAAACAAAATCAACAGACAAAAGATAAACTGGGGGAAATATTTGCAACACATGAAAGACAAAGGGTGTGAGATTGTGATTTATATTTATATTTTGTTTTTGTCTACAGTTCCTGGATCTAGGCTCCCCAAACCCTTGGAATTTCCTAAGTGCTGGGAGTGATAAAGGTGTCTCTTGTTATGTTAATGATGTTACTTTGCAAAGCACCTAAGGATTGGGGCTGGTTGCCAGAGAAACCAACCAAGTGATTAGAGGATTAGGACTTTCAGTGCCACCCCCTGGCCCCTGGGAAAGGGAGAGGGGCTGGAGCTTGAGTTCAATGACCCAAGACCATGATTTAATCAGCCATGCCTCTGTAATGAAGGCCGCTTAAAAAAGAAAAGAAAAAAAGGATGGGGTTTGGAGAGCTTCTTTTGGTGAACACGAGGAGATTTGGGGAGAGCATAGAAGATCGCTCTGTACCCTTTGCCCAAACCTTGCCCTAAGCATCTCTTCCATCTGGCTGTTCCTGAGTCATATCCTTTTATAATAAAGCAGTGATCTAGTAAGTAAATGTTTCTCTCAGTTCTTTGACCCACTTGAGCAAATTAAACCCAAGTTGGGGTTGTGGGAACATCCTAGTTATGCCAAGTCAGACAGAAATACAGATAGTAACCTGGCCTTGAGACTGGGGTCTGAAGTTGACTGGGAACTAGCCGGTTTGGCTCAGTGGATAGAGTGTCAGACCCTGGACTGAAGGGTCAAGGGCACCTATCTTGGTTGCAGGCTCGATCCCCAGCCCTGATCGGGGTGCGTGCATGTAGGAGGCAACGAATCCATGTGTCTCTCTCACATTAATGGTTCTGTCTCTCTCTCTCTCTCTCCTCACTTTTACTCTAAAAATCAATGGGAAAATACCTAGTATCCTTAGGTGAGGATTAACAACAAAAAGAATGAAGTTGTGGGGACAGTCTGTGGGTCTGAGCCCTCAACCTGTAGAATCTGATGCTGTTTTTGGTTAGATCAGGTCAAAATTGAGCTCACTTGTAGGACACCCAGCTTGTGTCAGAAAAATGCTTGTTGGATGTGTAGGGAAACCTGCCCTCACAGTGGAATTGGGTCCAGAACCCAAAAGAAAGGTCTAACTTCTTTAATTTATAAATCAATAAGGAAAGACAAAAAGTGACTAGAAAATAGACAAAAGATATGAATGGAAAGCTCACAAAAAGGAAGACAAATAGTCAATAAACATGTAAAAAATATACTCAATTTCATTCATAATTCTTCTAATTAATTTCCTTTCAATGTGCACGCATCCGTGCACCGGGCCTCTAGTATTTTTATAAAGGAGAACTTCTCCTTGCCAACTCTTTGGCTTATACAAGAAAAACAGAATAAATGCATGATTTTTCCCTGTATTTACCACTTTTCAATATAGTTTTTTCTCCATCATCTTCCCCCAGTTGACCAATGAGCTATCTTTATTTGTATCATCCTGAACTTGTGGATTGTAAACATGCTTATTTTAATGTGTTTCAAGCCATTGCAATTATAATCCTTGTTGATGCTCAAATTGTCCTATCTGCAATCAGTGGGATCACGGTCAACTTGCCTTCTGGAGCCTTTTCTCAGGATTTTAGGATTTTCAACGCTAACAAAGCACACCTTTCTTTCCCATATTACAGGCTCATCCTGTTCCTCCATGTGGCTTGCCACTTCATCAGAGGTTCATCTCGGTGACAATGTTGCTCCAGAAATGCCAAGAAGCCCGCATTCCCTCAACCCACCCCCATCTACATGGCCTCTTTTCTCACCCTTAGGGTCTGGGGAAAAAATGTCACCACGTCAAGGCTTCTGGGAAGGAGGCTGCCTGCTGGGGGGTTGCTGGAAACCTGCCCACTGCTGTGGTACTTGCCTTTCTTCTTTGAATCAGGAATCAATCTGAGGTCTAAACTGCCATCTCTCATCAGTTATCATTTCTAGAATTCCATCTTTTACATTTCCAGAATTCCATTTCTACTTGACCTAGGCTTTGTAAGTCCGCCCTAGTGAACTCCACATTACATCCCACAATTTTTCTGTGTCCTATGTTGTCAGAAATGCTGGAAACTAAAGGCTTGGAGGGGTGAGCCATCCGCAGCTACCAAGCTGTAAGGTGCAGAGCCTTGCGCACCTTTAAGATATATATGTATATATATAATTTATATATAATTTAATTGATTTATTTTAGAGAGAAAGAGAGAGGGAAAGAAACATCAAGTTGGTGTCCCACTTATGTATGCATTCATTGGTTGCTTCTTGTATTTGCCCTGACCAGTGATCGAACCCGCAACCTTGGTGTATGGGGTTGATGCTCTAACTAAACGAGCTACCGGCTAGGGCTGACCTCTCACACCTTCTGGGCTACAGGTGGGCTCCTCCATTTGCAGATCCAGATACTAGGCCAGTGGTTCTGAAAGTGTAGTAGTTAGAAGCATCCACAACACTGGGAACTTTTTAGAAATGCAAATTCTGAGACCCTCACACCAGACCCACTGTGGGGATGGGCTCCTTAGCCTATGTTTTAACAGACCCTCCAGTGGATTCTGAGAACCAGTGCCCTAGACCAGCTGTGCTAAGCGTGAAGTAGCTACTGGGGGCACGCCCTTGGAGGAACTGTCAAAAGGTCCCCATCAGTCCATCAGTGTGCCCCACGCGATCCTCACCCAGAGGACACACACATGGTTCCTATTTCTTTTACTTTCATTTCAGAAATAGTACTTTCTCTTACCACTAGAAAAGGCATCCACACTGCTGGCAAGTGTTTCAGAAAAGAAGGAACTCTGTTGTAGAAATAAATGGCAGACATAAACCCAATATCCTAGCAATAATTTCTCATTTCTGTACTTTACATTTATACATTTCTAAGTTTCCATGTTTCCATTTACATAAATATATTTATATAGAATTGGGTTCACTTGTACATATGGTTAGGGTCACCAAAGGAGGAATGCATAGGGCCAAAGTGGTGAGGGATTATAAATTTATTAGGTCATCTGGACACCAGATGGGCTGAGCCCCAAAATGGTGCCAGCACCCAGCGACAGGGAGGCAGAGATTTTAAAAGACTCTAGGCAGGCTTTTCTGGGCAGAGAATCTTCTATGCGGGTCTGGATCCTGGGAAGGTCCCAAGAGGAGAGATAATGGTCTTAGCAAGTGGAATGTGGTCTTAGCAAGTGGAATGTGGTCTCAGCGAAAGGGAATGTTGTTTGTGAAGTGGCTTAAAGGTCAGTTCCCAGGGAAGGGGTATCGATTCAATGATATGATCAGACCTAACATATAATTTTGGACCATACTTTTTCACTTCTGCATATGATGCACTGTTACATCATATGCAGTTTTCCAGTAATAATAACTTGTGAATGCCTATTTCACCATTTAAAAATAAAAATGCAGCCCTGGGCGAGAACCAGGAGAGATGGACAGACTTTATCTCGTCTCGGCGCCCTCAGCAATAACAACCAGAGTTTCTGACTTGCAGATAAGCCCAGGTTCAACTTCATGCCACAGATGAGAACTGAGGATGGGGAGATGCTACTGCCACCACCGTGCCCCTTACCAAAGACTGTTGACTTCCTCATGGGCCGGTTCTTAGAGTTAGGACAAGCTTTCCTAGGAATCTTTGCAAAAGAAGTATTTCAGCCCAGCCAGTATGGCTCAGTAGTTGACAGTCCACCCAGAAACCAAGAGGTCAAGAGGTCAATTCCCAGTCAGGGTACATGCCAGGGTTGTGGGCTCAATCCCTTGCATAGGATGTGCAGGAGGCAGCTGATCAATGATGTTTCTCTCTTTCCCCCTCTCTAAAAATCAGATATAAAGAAGTATTTCACCCTAACTGGTTTGGCTCAGTGGATAGAGCGTCGGCCTGCGGACTGAAGGGTCCCGGGTTCGATTCCAGTCAAAGGCATGTACCTTGGTTGCGGGCATGTACCTTGGTTGCGGGCACATCCCCAGTGGGGAGTGTGCAGGAGGCAGCTGATCGATGTTTCCCTCTCATCGATGTTTCTAACTCTCTATCCCTCTCCCTTCCTCTCTGTAAAAAATCAATAAAATATATTTTTTAAAAATAAAGAAGTATTTCATTTTCTTGGCTTAAAAAAAAATATATATATATATATATTGATTTTGGAGAGGAAGGGAGAGGAAGAGAGAGATAGAAACATCAATGATGAGAGAGAATCATTGATCGGCTGCCTCCTGTACACCCCCCACTTGGGACCTAGCCCACAACGCAGGCATGTGCCCTTGACCATAATCAAACCCAGGATCCTTCAGTCTGCAGACCAGTGCTCTTATCTACTGAGCCAAACCGGCCAGGGCTTGAAATCAGAGTTTTCCAGGCCTTCACAAATAGCCTGGGGTTTCTGTGCTAACATCTTCACACCCATTCTTGCTTCCTTCTCTGGAGCTCTACAGGATGACTGGCTATATACTAAGATTATGTCCTTCCTATTTTTTTATGTGAAAATAATTTTTTATTTTTTAAAATGATGGTGAGAATAGTAGAAGTTGAGGCTTTGTTAGTTTGTTAGTGTCCAAAGTTGACAAAATTCAAAGTTGGTCAACCTCTTGTCCTCTCCCACACATACCCATACATGGATACACATGTTTGTGTGTGTGTGTGTGTGTGTGTGTGTGGATTCATTAGTCCATCAAAATTTGACTAGTGTCCATATTGTGTTTAAATTTTCTTAGACTTTAAATATGTTCTCTCTTTCTTTCTCTCTCTCTCTCTCTCTTTTCCTCTCTCTAAAATCAATAAACATATACTCAGGTGAGGATTTAAAAATAAAGAAAAAAGTGAATGTTCTGTGTCAAATGTTCCATTTTCTGCTGTGTGGCCCAGGGTATCACCCTTGTCCTGTAGCCCCACAGACTTACTAGTATAAAACCAGAAAAGCACAAGAATTTTGGAGAGAGTAATATGAACTGCCGAGAAGTAAATACTATGTAATTTAAAAAAAACTGATGAGGATAAACCATTTATTAAAGAAGTTTGCCCAGCTGGCATGGCTCAGTGGTTGAGCATTGACCTATGAACCAAGAGGTCACGGTCCCATTCCCGGTCAGGGCACATGCCTCGGTTGCGGGCTCAATCCCTGATGTGGGGTGTGCAGGAGGCAGCCGATCATTGATCCTCTCTCATCATTGATATTTCTATCTCTCTCTCCCTCTCTCTTTGATGTTTCTATCTCTCCCTCTCCCTTCCTCTTTGAAATATATATAAAGTTAAAGGTCTGGGGCTTGACCTGCTCAGTTAGGAATTTATGATTGGAACACCCTGGGAGTTTACTTTTTTTCACCCACAGTTTACTTTTGTTGGCAAATTAAAAATTGTATGTATTTAGGTTGTAAAACATGTTTTGATGTCTGTATACATTGTGGAGTGGAATGATTATAACTATCAGCCTAACATTTTCATCACCTCTAAGTTGTTATGTCAATGTAAGAAGCATTCAAAACTGTGAAGAATTTTTGTGAGTTTATGTAAGCCAAACTGAGGACAATTGCTGGGAAGCAAAATCTCAGCGGATTGAGATAATGCTTGGGGAACGGCAGTTTTGCAACTTATTTTATATGTTGCAATCAAAAGAGGAGACATAGTGGGTTACATGAAATCCATTGGTGATAGCTTAGGGAGGTGGGAGAAAGCAAAGGGGGGAAACCTCTGGAATTGGATAAAAAGTAAAATGATAGACACATCTTTTACATAGGTGGGTATTGGATAGTTTAAAAAAACACCAATGATGATGACGACGACAGAAGAATACAGTGTAGGGAACTTGGACTTGTGGCTAAGGAGCCTTGTTTCATTAAGTACATGAGATTTAATGGCAAGTGCCTCTGTCAAAATTCTGTTTTCCAGTGGCCCTGTTCTTTGCATTCTATCCTTCCTTTTTATTTATTTTTATTTTTTCAATTATAGTTGTCCATATGATTTCACTTTATGTGGCATCTAAAGAACAATATTAACGAACAAACAGAAACAGACTCATAGGCACAGAGAACAGACTGGTGGTTGCCAGAGGGGAGGGGCTGGGGGACTGGGTGAAAGAGGTGAAGGGATTGAGAAGTACAGATTGGTGTTACAAAGCAGTCACCGGGATGTAAGTACAGCACAGGGAGTACAGTCAATAATTCTGTAATAACTATGTAGGTGCCAGGTGGGTACGGGAAAAATCAGGGGGAACACTTTGTAAAGTATATAAACACATCCCACCTTTTTGTTGATTTCAGAGAGGAAGGGAGAGGGAGAGAGAGACAGAAGCATCAATGATGAGAGAGAATCACCGATCGGCTGCCTCCTGCACACCCCACACTGGGGATCGAGCCTGCAACCCAGGCATGTGCCCTGACTGGGAATCGAACCTTGACCATCTGGTTCATAGGTCCACACTCAACCACTGAGCCACGCCAGCTGGGCCCACCCTTTCTTAACTCTGTTTCCAAACTGTGTGTGTCTCTGGTCGGTAGTACATTCGGGGAAATAGCTTTGCACGTGGGTATTGGCTCCCCCTGATTCTGTTCTTCCTCTTGCACCCCGAGCCCCTCTTCAGCAATCCATTTCTGGAGAGGAGAAGCCAGGACTGTTTCATTACCTTTGGCATTGCCTGGCAAGCTGCCTTGTGCAACGAGGTAATTAATACATTTTTTAAAAAATCCAAAACAATTTCTAATCCCTTTGGAATCCCTGGAGACTGCAGCCGAACAAAGGCGGTAGAATTCGGTGGCTGAAGGCCTAAAAGGGATGCTGTTTCTACCGTGAAGATTTCAAACACATGTCAACTGCGTAGTAAAGGAATTAATTAAAAGGATGTATCTTCAGCAAGATCCGATGTTTTCCCTTGACCGTAATCAAACGTTGACTTTGGTTTTTCACTTCCCCACAAGGTGGCAGCAAGAATCTCTCCTTAGCGCAGAGTTGCCCGCAGGGGCGAAGAGAAACAGCGGGAAGCAGGGGGGCCAGGGAAGCAGGTGGAGCGACAGGGAGCAGCGGGGAGCCAGGGGAACGGCGGGGGGCAAAGGGATCAGGGAAGCACGGGGGCAGCGGGGAGGCAGGCGAAGCAGCAGGGAGCAGGGGGGGCAGATGAAGCAGCAGGAAGGGGGCTGGGGGAGCAGCGGGGAGCAGGGGGGCAGGTGAAGCAGCAGGAAGAGGGGCAGGGGGAGCAGCGGGGGGCAGGGAGTCAGGGGAAGCAGGGGGGCTCCTCCCCACCTGTGGCCCAATTAGGAAGCCATTGATTTCACAGAGGGCCGAGGACACTCACAGGGCCAGGCCTGGGGTTCTCTTTGTTCCGCCTCTTTTCCCATGCAAAGACCTGAAAGGAAAAAATGCTGAATGACAAGAATTAATGGTGTCACACAAATACCATCAAAGACAATTTAAGAATTGCTCTTCTCTGTCTGAAAGGAATGAAGAAGACAGAAGAGTGGTGACTCCCTTTTTTTTTTTTTTTTTACCATTAACTACTCTATTTTGGAGAGAACAGATGAAAAGTGTTTTTCACTGCATTGCATTGTCATTCAGCTTAATCAATGCTCACAAATTTACAGTTTAAAGATTTTTTGAGAGAACAGTTTGCTACAAGTCATATAGTTTTTGATTGACCATAACCATAACCTTATTTATAATCATTACCTTGTTTGTAATCTCAGAATGCCAATATGCCTAAAATGACTATAGAATTGTCGTTTCAAATCTTTTATAAAATAGACTTTTTTAAGAGCAGTTTTTGGTACACAGCAAAATTGAGCAGAAATTGTAGAGGATTCCCATATACTCCCTGTACCCACTCACGCACAGGCTCCCCCACCAGCAACACATCATTATCATCCAAAGTCCATGGTTCACATTAAGGTTCATTCTATTGATTTGGACAAATACATCATGACATGTATCCATCATTATAGCATCTTCACTGCCCTAAAAATCCCCTGTGCTCTGCCTGTTCATCCCTCTCTCCTCCGTAACCCCTGGCAACCACTGATGTTTTTACTGTCTCCATAGTTTCGCTTTTTTCCACAATGTCATATCGTTGGAATCATACAGTAGGTAACCTTTTCAGATTGGCTTCTTTCACGTAGTAATGTGCATTTACGTTTCCTCCTTCCTTGCCTTTTCCTAGCTTGCTGATTCATTTCCTTCTAGCACTGAATACTGTGCCATTGTCTCAATGTATCAGTTTATTTTTAATATGTTTTTATTGATTTTTAAAGAGAGAGAGAGAGAGGGATAGAGAGATAGAAACATCCATGAGAAACATCATTGATCAGCTGCCTTCTGCACACCCGCTCCCGGGGATCGTGCCCTGACGGAAAACGAACCAGGGACCTCTTTTTTTTTTTTTTTTTTTTTTTTTCTGAACCAGGGACCTCTTGGTTTATGGGTCCACACTCAAACACTGAGCTATGCTGGTAGGGTAATAAAACATGTTTTTTTACAAATACAAAATAAAATGGGGATAATAATAGTGTTTACCCTGTAGAGATTTAAAGCAGGTCTTGAAACATTTGTTATAACATTGTTTAATATTAATTTCAATACTTAAATGATTTGATGAGAACAAAAGCTATAGTTTGTAGAGTGTCAGAGACATGAATGAAAAGGAATGGTGGAGCCCTAGCTGGTTTGGCTCAGTGGATAGAGCGTTGGCTGAAGGGTCCCGGGTTCGATTTTGGTCAAGGGCACATGCCCGGGTTGTGGGCTCGATCCCCAGTGTGGGGCATGCAGGAGGCAGCCAATCAAAGATTCTCTCTCATCGTTGATGTTTCTATCTCTCTCTCCCTCTCCCTTCCTCTCTGAAATCAATAAAAATATATTTTAAAAAAAGACAAGAAAAGCAATGGTGGAAATCTAAGTTGAAGGACATGGCGGTTGCACCTATTCTCCACTGAGCAGCACCAGTTCTGCTGTGGAAGCTGCTTCAAAGCTACTTTGTTGTTTTGCTACTTTGTTTTTTGCAAAGCAACTTCGCTAACTTGCCCTGAGAAAAGTGACAATGAAGCAAACGAAGTTGAGACATCTGAGGTCTCTGCACAAATCACTTTACTCTTTTATGATCAAGTTATGTATTACTCATTTTTTAAATTATCTGTATTTTATGGTTTATCCTTGGACATTTTGGAGCCTTGCTAATCCTGGAGAAGCTACCCTCCCAAGGCTAGCTAATTCCTAGAGATAGCAAACAACAAATTCGACCTTGAGCAATGCCTTTGATCTGCAAACCAACCAATCCCAAATCCAGACCCCCCAATCGCTCCTTTATCTGACTTTCATGTATTTTAGAATAACTACGGACAGTAAATATGTATGTATCAGTCCTTACTCATATCTTATAAATCCTAAGAATTTCGTAACTGATTCAAAGGGGATTTTTTCCCTTTCCCATAATTTGGTTTCTGAGTTGCAATGTTGAAGCAATGTGCCCAAACTGCTTTTATTTTCCCTAATTAAAAATATATTATCAATTCTTATTAGCAAAGAAAAAAAAGATATATTACAGAGGGAAAAGTAAAATAAAAATAGGATAGTCCGCTTCCTTGCAGGACTACAAAAAGAACGTAAAGAGTTAAACTCTATGCATTTCCCAAATCCTGAAACAGAAACCTCTCATCGACATTCTAATTCTACTCCCGGTAAACATTCCTTTGGCTCATCCACCTGCCCTTGGGCTGCCCAGCAGGTGATGACAGGTGTGGTATTTGGCCTGGAGCTAGCGTTATGTCTACCTGCAGCAGTGAAATCTGAAACTATTAGACCAGGAAATTCTGAAATAGGGTCTGAGGGACAAACAGATTGCTGAACATATTTATAAGGAAGCAGTATATTACATATCACACACATATATACCTTTCTCTATCTCCTTAAAAACATATATATTTTATTGATTTCAGAGAAGAGGAAGCGAGAGAAACATCAAGGATGAGAGAGAATCACTGATCGGCTGCCTCCTGCACACCCCACACTAGGGATCGAGCCCGCAACCCGGGCATGTGCCCTGACCAGGAATCAAACCGTGACCTCCTGGTTGGTTCATAGATCGATGCTCAACCACTGAGCCACGCCGGCCAGGCTACCTTTCTCTTGATCTGACCCGAGCACTGTGGAGGGAGCACAGAAATATGAGTCACTCAATATTCTCATCCTTCTTAGGAGTTCAGCCCTGTACTGTCCAGAGAACTGGCTGAGCAAGGACGGGAGCTGGGTGTCTGGAGGGAAGGGAATATATGACTGAGTCGTGCACGCTCCGCGGAGGACCTGGGCTTGAGAAGGTGAGAGCCTTGAGAAGGGGACAAAGGGACAAGCGAAATGCCCTGGAATTACTGGCAAATAATAAGCCGCTTGTAATAATATCCACTTGGATAACTCATTCACAGGTAAAAGTGTGTGTTTATCCCATTTTGTCAGCATCTGACTCTAACAATGTCAGTTTCTTTTCTAAAAAAAAATAAATATTGTTGAAAGTATTACATATGTCCTCTTTTTCCCCCCATTGACCCCCTCCAGTCCACTGCCACCCCCACCCCAGGCCCTCACCGCCCCATTGTCCCTGTCCATGGGTTATGCACACATGCATACAAGGTCCTTGGTTGATTACCTCCCACCCACCCACCCCCTAAAGGTGTCAGTTCATAATGTATATTCATGTAGTTTTCTCATACATATTTGGATTGAGCAACTCATTTGGACAAACCAAGAGTTATTTGCCTCATCTCCCTTAACACCAGTTTATTTTCCTTCCCTCGGCAGCCCTCCCTCTGCCCCACTGTTTTCTCCACCACACTGCATTTCCCTCCATTGTTTTCTGCATTGTCTCCCTAATTAGCAGTTAACTCACCAGGTGGGACTCATTCATTTCTGTTCCCTGTGCCCCACCACAGGGGGCTCAGCCCTGGGCCAGCTCTAAATAAGGAGGCATTTCTTGTGATGGGAAACTCTGGGAGGTTGTGGAAACCTTTGGAATGCAAGTCACCCATTCATTTATTCACTCATTCAACTGCTATTTCTTTTGTTTGTTGTTGTTTTTAAAAAATATATTTGTATTGATTAAATCAATAAAGATGTAATAAAAAATAAACAATACATTCTCAAATAATAATAATAATAATAATAATAATAATAATAAAGAGTTCCACTATTGATGACAGCTAACCAAACCAGTAGGTGGTTACTACAGATGCAGGCCATCAGAGGCCAAATAATTTTGTTTTGCAAATTATATATTACAACAAAAGGGAAATTGATCCGAAAGTTCCAATTCGTGGATGCAGGGATGCACTAAAGAAATCTCTAAAGGCTGATTGGTTTAGTTATCACCTCCCTGTCACCAGCAGCAGCTTCCTGTTTTAATAAGATGGCAGATTTGGGGTTTAGGGTCCTACATATATTAAAATGGTCTGAAATATATTAAAATAGTCAGGCCATTTTGGCCAGCCAGTGTGGCTCAGTGGTTGAGTGTTGACTTATGAACCAGATCATGTTTTGCTTCCCAGTCAGGGCTCCAGCCGGGATTGGGGTCTTGATCCCCAGTAGGGGGCGTGCAGGAGGCAGCCAATCAATGATTCTCTCTCGTCATTGATGTTTCTCCTACTCCTTTCCTCTTTAAAATAATTTTTTTAAAAAAGACCTAGAGAGAAAAAAAACATTAAAATTGCTTATTTTATTTTTTTATAAGCCTTTAAAATTTTTTATTAAAATTTATGTGGAGTTTGCAGGTTCTCCCATGTCTGCATGGGTTTTCTCCCGGAACTCCGGTATCCTCCCACCTCCCAGAGTTGTGCAGATAAGCTGTGGTGTCTACACTGTCCCAGTCTGAGTGAGCGTGGGTGTGGGTGTGAGTGCGTCCTGCCATGGAGGGACGTCCTGTCCAGGGTTGGGTCCCTCTTTGCATCCTGAGCTGTAGGGATAGGGTCCTGCCACCCGAGACCCTGACCTGAAATAAATGGGTTGGAAAAGAATGCTCTTCTTGTATAGCTCACACTATGTCAATGTTTAATACTAGAAGTGCTTTGGGTATTTATTTATTTTTAAATATATGTTTATTGATTTTAGAGAGGAAGGGAGAGGGGGAGAGAGATAGAAACATCAATGATGAGAGAGAATCATGGATTGGCTGCCTCCTGCACGCTCCACACTGGGGATTGAGCCCACAACCCGGGCATGTGCCCTGACTGGAATCCAACACGGGACCCTTCGGTCCGCAGGCCGACGCTCTATCCACTGAGCCAAACCGGCTAGGGCAAAGTGCTTGTTCTTTAAAACACACTTTGTCAAAGGCCTCACTTTTAGG